TGTGTGTGTGTGTGTGTGTGTGTGTGTGAGAGAGAGAGAGAGAGAGAGAGAGAGAGAGAGAGAGAGAAAGAGAGAGAGAGAGTTTTCCATCGATTGGTCGAGCAACGCAACGGCCAACAGGTAAATCTTCAGCGAACACTCCAAACCCGCGGAATAAATCTTCTGCTACAACATCGAAACATATGCTGCTACACATGTGTGTGTGTGTGTGTGTGTGTGTGTGTGTGTGTGTGTGTGTGTGTGTGTGTGTGTGTGTGTGTGTGTGTATGTGCGTGTGTGCGTGAGAGAGAGAGAGTACTTCCATCGATAGCATGAGCGAAATATAACAAATTTACCGCTACAATATGGAAATATAAACTATATGCGTGTGTGTGTATGTGTGTGAGAGAGAGAGAAAGAGTGAAAGAGAGAAAGAGTGATAGAGAGAGGGTAGTTTCATTGATATGATGAGCAAAATCGATTGAATCTACCTCCACAACATGGACATATACTTTTTTTTTTTTTTTTTTTTTGTGATAGTGAATTAATATAAGTTATCTATCACATCCAATACATGCAAGGGAAGTGGTGGGACGTCGACAATTTAGATAAGCACCTTGCTGTGCTTATCACCTTCTCTCCCTTGTGTCTTCCTCCTGTTGTGCACAATTCCCCTCCTTCGTCTTTTATGCATTAGTCACTACACATTCCCCTTCTTTCACGTGATCGTTTTTTTTTGTGTGTTACATTCCTACGAGCCACTCGTTTACCCATATGATGTATCTGACTCTAGTCCTGACCTTGATCAGAATAAACCTGGCCGAAATAGCGTGTCAAAATAACGTGTCAAGTTCGAATTAGATAATAATAATAATAATAATAATAATAATAATAATAATAATAATAATAATAATAATAAGAAGAAGAAGAAAAAAAAAAAGAAGAAAAATAAAAATAATAAGAATAAGAATAATAAAATAATAGTAATACGAAGGAAGGGAATCGAACGAAATGACCAGCTTGGAAAGAGAAAGAAGGTTAGGAAAAAAAAAAAAGGAAGATGATCGAGGAGGATTACGACCGGCAGGATGATGTCCATTAGCTTGCCTAGACTTTCCCCTCTTTTTTTTTGCAAACGTATATTATAACGAAGACTAACACATGATAGTAATAATACCAGTGATAATTAATAATTGCAAAAACAATATCAATAAAACATATGTATGCAATCTATCTTTCTGGTAATGTACAGTCAAGATGAGGGTGTTTTGAGTTCAGGGAAACTGCACCAATCCCCTACGTCGCCTATCGGCCTTACCTCCGGCAACGTGATTTTGATCTTCCCTCTCTCTCTCTCTCTCTCTCTCTCTCTCTCTCTCTCTCTCTCTCTCTCTCTCTCTCGTTTAAAAAACAGCGTCACAACTATCTTACCACTTGTCGTCATCTTTCTCTCGCTTTCACACATACGCACACACACAGATAAACACACACACACACACACACGCACACACACACACACACGCACACACACGTAGTAGTGTATTTTTCTGTGTTTTAGCGGTAGATTTATCAGTTTATGCTCATCCTATCGATGAAAGTACCATGCGGTAAGTCATGGGATTGAAGACTAACTTGTTCTCTGTCTCCCTCTCTCTCATACACACACACACTCACAGACACACACGCACACACGTGAGCACCCAAACAAACAAGTGTGGTAATATATATATTTATGTTCTAGTTGTAAATTTATT